TATACAAGAAAATAAGTATTCAAAACATGATTTTAAGTATATATATACTAGGATTTTAGGGCGCAGTGGACCCATCTTCTTTTTCAACTTTTATTTGTGGCTTTATCTGTGAGCATCTTCTATTTGTACAGTATAGAAAAATTTTAATTTGCGGATTTCATAATATTTTTTCGCGCATTTCGAAATTTTGCAAAATTAAATAATTTAAGATACAAATATTTTAAGATTACATATTTAAAGCCTGATTGGCCATAAACCTTCCCTGGGGCCACGTAAGGTCCCACACAAAATTTGGGCCTGATCGGTTCAGCCGTTTTGACGTTTATTGGATACAAAACAAACAGACAGACAAGCTAAATTTATATATAGATATAAAGATGACACTTAAATCAAACCAAATCATATCAAGCTTCATATATCAACTAGAACCTCCCAGAACATTATATAAATAAAACTTAATTTGTCAATCTGAGGAAATCATAGTACAGCTCTAAAATCAAAACTGTGTTATTGACAGGAAACAAAAAAGCTTCCTGACCAAAGCATCCAGGTAGTTTTGAATTCAGCAAACTTTTAAAAAAGGAAAAGATTATTTACAATTATACAAAATTTTTAAATGGCACAGGACCATAAACTCCAAAATGTTCAGTGGCCGAAATTAAAGAATTTTAGCGGGGGTTTAAATTTAAGCCGCGGCTTAAATATGGTTAGTTCCACTTAAAATTGTATAAAATATTTCAAGATTTAAGCCGGCGCTTAATTTAAACCGGGTTTTAGGAGATTTAAACCGCGGCTCAAATTCTTTAAATTCCATCTCAGGACGATTATCTCTGTTATGTATAGAATGATTAACTCTGCTATGTACAGGACGATTAACTTTGTATGTACAGGACGACTAACCCTGGTATATAAAGGATGATTAACTGCTATGTACAGGACGACTAACCCTGGTATATAAAGGATGATTAACTGCTATGTACAGGACGACTAACCCTGGTATATAAAGGATGATTAACTGCTATGTACAGGACGACTAACCCTGGTATATAAAGGATGATTAACTGCTATGTACAGGACGACTAACCCTGGTATATAAAGGATGATTAACTGCTATGTACAGGACGACTAACCCTGGTATATAAAGGATGATTAACTGCTATGTACAGGACGACTAACCCTGGTATATAAAGGATGATTAACTGCTATGTACAGGACGACTAACCCTGGTATATAAAGGATGATTAACTGCTATGTACAGGACGACTAACCCTGGTATATAAAGGATGATTAACTGCTATGTACAGGACGACTAACCCTGGTATATAAAGGATGATTAACTGCTATGTACAGGACGACTAACCCTGGTATATAAAGGATGATTAACTGCTATGTACAGGACGATTAACTCTGTTATGTACAGGACGACTAACCCTGGTATATAAAGGACGATTAACTCTGCTATGTAGAGGACGACTAACTCTGGTATATAAAGGATGATTAACTGCTATGTACAGGACGACTAACCCTGGTATATAAAGGACGATTAACTCTGCTATGTACAGGACGACTAACCCTGGTATATAAAGGACTATTAACTCTGCTATGTGGAGGATGATTAATTATTTTTAAACTTTAATAATTTATTTTTGGATAAGGGTTGTGGGCACAAGCTCACGCATACAAAATAAAAACGAAATGTTAATAAATCTATTTCCAGTTTGTTATCAAAGTCTTTCTATTATTTTGTTCAGCTCAAGATTAGTTAAAAGTCATACACCCCAACGTTTTCTGTTGCGCCATTGTCTTAAAAACTTTACCATGGGTAACCCTATAAACCATAGTGAACGCTTATTTTACGCGGGCTGATCTTGCCTCCTATTTTTCCTTAGGCTTAACTATTTGGTTTGGTTAATGATATGATTTTTGTTAATCACATGTAGCGTTGATTTGACAATGACTTGTAGAAAGCGGACGATTAATTATAATATGTAGAGGAAGACTAACTCTGCTATGTACAGTACAATTATCTTTAACATGTACTGTACAGTCAACTCTGCTATGTACATTTTACAGGACGATTATCTCTGCTATGTACAGAACGATTAACTCTGGTATATACTGTACAATTAACTCTGCTATGTACATTTTACAGGACGACTAACTCTGCTATATACATTGTTAATGATGACTAACTCTGCTTACATTGTACAGGACGATGAACTCTGCAATGTACAGGACGATTATCTCTGCTTTTTACAGAACGATTAACTCTGATGCTACAA